GTATATATCAGTCATGCACTTTGCTATACAGTTAAATTTGAAATTGTACTGGAGCTTATAATGTATGTGGGCTGCAAGCCGCACGTTAGAAAAAGAAGACATTTTTATCATGAGAGAATATAAAACGCATCAAGTTAGTATCTTACGAAATACACTTAATCTGATACATGTATTCCTTAAAAGTCTAGGAGGCTCTTGAACCTGTTCCTTGTAGAAGCGCACAAACTCATTATCTTGGTGTTGGTCAACGTAGACTCCGAGGGCCAAACTTTCTCTGTGCAAAGCGATTGGCAACCACTTTGCACTTGGAAGCAATTGTAGTCAATTTCACTAATGAGTCAATGTAGGACTGAACTCTGCGAGGTGGAACATGCAATGTTGTAATGCTTGTCATGCTTGTTTTAAGGGCAAAATGACCAGCTTGGCAAGCTTTTGTTCTCAAAGGGACACTCGGCGGCGCCTATCAGCTTTAAAAATCCGCTGAGATGGCACATTTAGGAAAGTCCCAACCGGGTGCTGATGGAGATTTAGGTGCGGACTAATGTGATACTGCTGTTGTTAAGCATTTTACCCTTCAAGAGCCATGAAGAAAATACATTTCTTTCTGGATGAGGGAAGTGAAGTTGGCAAAGGATTTGGCCTTTATTCTTAGCGCATCGCGTATGCGATCTCCAATAAAATAGATTAGCTGCTAAAACACTTGATAATACCCTGAAGGAGGTAAAAAAATATGAAGGGTCTTTGAAAGGGTGCAGTGCACCAAGACTCTTCATCTTTTAAGGGAGTGGTGGACGCCGCATTCAGTGCGACGCACAGTGAGAGCGAAATAAAATGCTAAGAATGTAAGCTTTAAAAGTTCATCCGAATCTTCTGCCATGCTGAGGCAGGCGAGATCTATAACTTTGAGCAGCTCCACAGTACCCGTAGATGATTATTTGCGGTCATACTGACTATCGCACACTTTTATCTGCCGTAATAAAAATATAGCGCCTTGCGTGCTCTCTGTGTTCTCAGCTAAGCAATAGGAACGGTTGAAGCCCCAGACAAGGTTAGACAACGATCTCTTCATTGATAATGTCAACTACCAGTAGGACTCCCTGCGCCTTGGGTTTTATTGTACCGCGTTTAGGTATTGGTCAATGGGACCCAGCACTAAAAGTAGCGACTTCCTTGGAATGGTGTGGCTGGCAGTCTATTAATTTTGGCTGATAAGTCATGAAACGTTCTGATAGTATAAAAATATCGTGTAATTATGAACGATAAAACTGCATACAGAACGTAGCGGTTTTCAATATGTCAAATACGGATATAATATCCTTGGGTTTTGCGACTAGAACACTGACAACGATCACGAAGGTTCTGCGTGAAATTTGAGGACTTTGACAGAGTAACTGTTACCTCAATTTGAACTTAGCTTGTGACATGATCGCATATTAGATATGGCCTGGTTTATCATACAATAT